TGAATGTGGATAAGAGTGTGTGTGACTATGTATGTGTATGACTGGGTGTGTGAAGCTCCGTGTGTATGTGTTTGGTTGTGATTGCGTTTTAAAATAGTGGGTAAGGGAGGCAGCGATTAAGTTCTGGTTCTAAAGTGTGAGGTTTTTTGTGGGGTAATGTGTGAGCGGTATATAGAGAGGTGGGTGGGTGATGGGTCATGAGTGAATATGTGTGGGTGATGTTTTAAGTGTGGCGGTGAGAGGGTGGGGTTGTATGATGTGTGTGCAGTATTAAGGGTTGTAGCGGTGTGTCGTGTATGTGTGGGGGGGGGGCTGCAGAGACATAACATGTATGTGAGGTATTTATGTCGTGAGAGTTATGCGTGGGGGTGCGTCAATGTGACATGTGGGGTGGGGTGGACGTGAGTGCGAGTAATGTGTGGGGGTGCGGCAAAGTGTCATGTGGGGTGGACGTGTGGGTCAGGTATGTGTGGGGGTGCGGCAATGTGACATGTGTGGGGGTGGGTGGTGGACGTGTGTGTGAGTAATGTGTGGGGGTGCGGCAATGTGACATGTGTGGGGGTGGGTGGTGGACGTGTGTGTGAGTAATATGTGGGGGTGCGGCAATGTGACATGTGTGGGGGTGGGTGGTGGACGTGTGTGTGAGTAATGTGTGGGGGTGCGGCAATGTGACATGTGTGGGGGTGGGTGGTGGACGTGTGTGTGAGTAATGTGTGGGGGTGCGGCAATGTGACATGTGTGGGGGTGGGTGGTGGACGTGTGTGTGAGTAATGTGTGGGGGTGCGGCAATGTGACATGTGTGGGGGTGGGTGGTGGACGTGTGTGTGAGTAATATGTGGGGGTGCGGCAATGTGACATGTGTGGGGGTGGGTGGTGGACGTGTGTGTGAGTAATGTGTGGGGGTGCGGCAATGTGACATGTGTGGGGGTGGGTGGTGGACGTGTGTGTGAGTAATATGTGGGGGTGCGGCAATGTGACATGTGTGGGGGTGGGTGGTGGACGTGTGTGTGAGTAATGTGTGGGGGTGCGGCAATGTGACATGTGTGGGTAGGGGGTGGACGTGTGTGTGAGGTATATGTGGGGGTGGGTGGTGGACGTGTGTGTGAGTAATGTGTGGGGGTGCGGCAATGTGACATGTGTGGGGGTGGGGGTGGGGGTGTGTGTGAGGTATGTGTGTGGGTGCGGCAATGTGACATGTGTGGGGGTGGGTGGTGGACGTGTGTGTGAGTAATGTGTGGGGGTGCGGCAATGTGACATGTGTGGGGGTAGGGGTGGACGTGTGTGTGAGGTATGTGTGGGGGTGCAGCAATGTGACATGCAGTTCCCATGCCCCGTGTGACGAAGGCTGGAACTATTTCAGCCGATGCGGCACCACTTGTCTAGCACGGTGGATGCCAGACTTACCTGAGGTCACAGGTACCCACAGCAGACGTTCTGTGCAGGAAATTAAACTTTAGACGGGGGGGGGGGGGGAATGGACTGTACGCCAGAGAACTAATTAGGCATTGACAAGTTATTCTAGTTTTTTAGTTGCTTTTTTGTTTTTGTTTTTGTTAAATTTCCGAAAAACGAAAATAAAATATATATTTTTTGTTTTTATTATTATCATGTGTTCGTCTGTATAAAACATCGATGGAGTTTATTTTAATTTAAAAAACAACATTTTAGCTAATAAAAAAACGTCATATAATATTCAAAGGTAATTAATTCTACTATTGAAGACCTCATTAGGAATCGTCCGTAATTAACCTGACTCATCTGGGGGGGGGGAGGTTCACACCCTTTGAAATGTGTTATGCGAAGAAGGGGGTCAAGCAACGTGAGGTAAAATTCTATGTTTGCTAGGAATAAAAGTGATTAAAAACATGCTTGGTCTTATTTTAATCCAGGTATTTGTGGAGTAGTTGAATTTCTGGTCGGGGTCTGGATTTGTTATTGTGACTTTATGTGACTCGTGGTGTCACATCCTCTATAAACAGTGGTAAAAGTATGGACGTATAGAGTTTCTGTTTAAATTCTTTTACTAGTGTAAGATGACAATACATCCTAGCTTAGTGACCACATTCTACAATCTTTCTGTCATCATTGCATCAAGGCTAGCGCGGTGGTTCTAGCTTTGGTTCAATAAAATATTAACAATTCTATAAAGCCAACTTTGAACCAATACAATATCCACCAATACAATATCCACCAATACAATATCCACCAATACAATATCCACCAATACAATATCCACCACTGTGACCTCACTGACAGAAACCTTGGGCCTCACTAAGTTCACCCTCGACAAATTTAAATTCACCCAGTTCGGGTTTGAGTCGTCCTATGCGATGTCACTCGGTGCATTATTGATCAGTGGACCATCAACACTTCACTGTCGCCCAATGTGTCAGAGCCCAAAATATTTTCGTCCAGCGTACTTTTATCTAGTTTACTTTCGACATGGCAATACCACCCAGTTTTCCCTTCGTCAATCTTACTTTCTTTGCCCAGCTTAACTACGATAATCTTACCATCGCCCATCTTACCTTCGGCCATTTTTTTTACCCATATTACTTTCGCCCAGCTTACCCTTCGCCCATGTTACCATTGCCCATCATACCATTGCCCATCTTACCTTCGCCCATCTTACCTTCGCCCATCTTACCATCGCCCATCATACCATCACCTATCTTACCTTCGCCCATCTTACCATCGCCCATCTTACCATCGCCCATCTTACCATCGCCCATCTTACATCACCCATCTTACCATCGCTCATCTTACCATCGCCCACCTTACCATCGCCCATCATACCATCACCTATCTTACCTTCGCCCATCTTACCATCGCCCATCTTACCATCGCCCACCTTACCATCACCCATCTTACCATCGCCCATCATACCATCACCTATCTTACCTTCGCCCATCTTACCATCGCCCATCTTACCATCGCCCATCTTACCATCGCCCATCTTACCATCACCCATCTTACCATCGCCCACCTTACCATCACCCATCTTACCATCGCCCATCATACCATCACCTATCTTACCTTCGCCCATCTTACCATCGCCCATCTTACCATCGCCCATCTTACCATCACCCATCTTACCATCGCCCACCTTACCATCACCCATCTTACCATCGCCCATCATACCATCACCTATCTTACCTTCGCCCATCTTACCATCGCCCATCTTACCATCGCCCATCTTAACATCACCCATCTTACCATCACCCATCTTACCATCGCCCATCTTACCATCGCCCAATTCACCATCACCCACCTTACCATCGCCCATCTTACCATCACCCACATTACCATCGCACATCTTACCATCGCCCATCTTACCATCACCCACATTACCATCGTCCATCTTACCATCGCCCATCTTACCTTCACCCATCTAACCATCGCCCATCTTACCTTCACCCATCTTACCATCGCCCATCTTACCATCACCCACATTACCATCGCCCATCTTACCATCGCCCATCTTACCATCACCCACATTACCATCGCCTACTTTACCTTCGCCCATCTTACCATCGCCCATCTTACCATCGCCCATCTTACCATCGCCCATCTTACCATCACCCACATTACCATCGCCTACTTTACCTTCGCCCATCTTACCATCGCCCATCTTACCATCGCCCATCTTACCATCGCCCATCTTACCATTGCCCATCTTACCATCACCCATCTTACCATCGCCCATCTTACCATCGCCCATCTTACCATCGCCCATCTTACCATCCCCATCTTACCATCACCCATCTTACCATCGCCCATCTTACCATCGCCCATCTTACCATCGCCCATCTTACCATCGCCCATCTTACCATCGCCCATCTTACCTTCACCTAGTTTACCATCGTCCATCTTACCTTCACTCATCTTACCTTCACTCATCTTACCATCACCCATCATACCTTCGTCCATCTTACCATCGCCCATCTTACCATCGCCCATCTTACCATCGCCCATCTTACCATTGCCCATCTTACCATCACCCATCTTACCATCGCCCATCTTACCATCGCCCATCTTACCATCGCCCATCTTACCATCGCCCATCTTACCATCGCCCATCTTACCATCGCCCATCTTACCATCACCCAACACACCTCGATTCCCCACACATCACAACCAACATCTGACAACATTCCCCCTATGTCGACACAACGTGAGCAGCATCTCTCTGCACATGTGCCACAATCACGCGTGTTACAATCACGTGCAACCATTGCCAGCTCGCGATATTAGAGACACGTGCCTATCCGACGTTCCACAGCACTCACCTACAGCAACTGCACCCCTGTATAAAGCTTTGATACAAATGTGCATGCGGAGAGTACTCAGCCAGAAACGTAATTAGAAACAAAAAAATAAAACTACAAAAGTAAGGTGTTGTGTTTGAAGTAGTAGGGTAGATTATCTAGGCCGTTGTTGGTAACTAAATTAAACCATACCAAAGCTACAGCATGAAAACTTTACAAATTACACTATACAAAAATTACAGCTTACAAAACTTACAGCATACGCATCTGAAGTATATAAAACGTAAAGCATACAAAACTTAATTTTTCTAAAAATTACAACAAAGTTAATAAATACCATGTAAAAACATGTAATACTAAAAAAAATTAAAAACATAAAAGACGTTTTACACATATAATAGATGTAGATCATTATGCTTTCATAAAAAAAAGACTAGCTTTTATTTTTCATTTTACCACTGACTAACTTTTTAACATCTTTACGGTAATTCTATTTTAGACACTAACCTACAAGCACTGATACCACAGCTTTAAAAAAAAATCTTAAATGTTATAATAGATGCATATACTGCAACCATAACATAATAATCCTATATAACACTAAACATGTAAAAAAAAAAACATTCTTTTAAAAACTGAAATTAGTGAATTTGTTTTTGTTATAGAATTTAGAAAGATCAGCTAAACTAGAATAAAAAACACTGTTAAAATATTACTTTAAAATTAACTCACCGTGCAGTTCAGTATCTGGCAGTTAAATACAACACATTTCTTGTTTTAACTTTTTTTTCCCCCACAAAAGTTTGAAATTAAAAAACCTGGCACTATCATCCACGCGCCGTCTAAATTTAGAACTCGGAATGTCTGTCCCGTTTGGTGGCGCTGTGGGTAGGAGATTATGTGAGCTCGTGCAACCACGGGCAGGCAGCAGATGACGAGTCACGTGAGCGAGGGTTCCGTTTCCCGCCGTTTCTCCATCTTTCAACGGCTGAGGTAGTTGATCGGCCGAGAGCCAAAATTTAATTGTCCAGATATCGTGCGAAAACTAAATTTGGCTTTTTTTTCTTTTCTTTTTTTTTTCTTTTTTTTTTTTAAAGTGGCCTAGAGCTGGATGATTCAGAAAATTGAAATTTGATTTATCAGTTGTAAAAATAGCGCCAAGTCGCAGTGAAATAAAATTTAAATTTAGCTTAGTATTGCTATTATAAATAACCGTAACCATCCTAACCATGGCTCTAGTGTTGCTACTAACTCAGCTCTGACCTTTATCCTAGCACTGACCCTTATAGCAATGTCGAGAGGGCGGATAAGAAGAGTAAAACGACCAGCGATCACCAAGAAAAAAAACATTTTGTAGTAGGAACAATGCCGGGTCTCTTTTACATTTCCCAAGTTGAGCCAGGTACCCATAACAGCTGAGTTGGCTCAATGACACCTGACAAATATCTGTTTACTGGGGGGTACAAATGGCATTATAAACTGGGGGGGGGGGGGTCCTGGAATGTCTTTCATGGTTTTTAATTCAAAATTCGAACATAAAGGATATATTGTTCTGGCTTGTCAATATTGATTGGCTGTTGATAAATTGGCTAGTCAAAGTTGATGGTCTGTTGATAAATTGGCTAATTAAGCTACTGTTGATGGCTAGTCAATGTTGATAGGCTGTTGATAAGCTACTGTTGATTAATTGGCTAGTCAACCTACTATTGATAAATAATTGGCTATCAAAACTACTGTTGATAAACTGGGTAGCTAAAGTTTGTTTTAAAAATGGTTGATTCATCCACTGTACTAGTGTTGATACATTAGTTGCACCAACTACTGTAAGCGATTCCCGTTTATTTGTCTACTACCAAAGACCGATGTAAATACAGTCAACATTCGTAGCACCTACTTCTCTCCCTTAGGTCCCAGCGCGTCCAATTACCTAAACAAGCAGATGTCGACGTCATGCCAATTAACTTAATAAGTTCACACTTTTAAGCTACCTCACCACCCCCTCACCACCCCCTCACCACCCCCTCACCACCCCCTCACCACCCCCTCACCACCCCCCTCACCACCCCCTCACCACCCCCTCACCACTACTGTCATCCACACCCTAATTGACCTAATTTGTAAGTGATTTAAATCTAAGTTTTCAGTAGGAAAGTTTATGTTTGAAATATGTTTAACCTAGGTCAGCCGGAGGTCAGGTGAACGTCCCTGACCTATCCAGCTAAATTAGGTACCTGGCATGATTACAGTAATCAGTAACCAACTTGAGTAAGTAAAGCAAAAACACAAATTTTACCACACGTTTTTTAAAGTTGTTTTTTTAACTACTAGAAATACGTATTGTAAGTCTATAAGACTAATGGACAAGAGAATGGGCGAGTAACATAAAAGAAAAGTTGGCATCAATGGAACTAGCTCAGACGGTCCACAGAACAAGACATCTTTTGTTGTAGAGCAAGATGGTACTCACACTTAACACGGTCAATCTTGAGGGGGTTCTCAAAACGTTTCATGGTCACCTCTTCAACTATTTATGTGGCCCATTTTCTAACTTTTACTTAATGGGACATTTCCCGTTACCTTTACTGTTACTGCTACTGCTAAAATTTTATTATAATTACAAGTACGTTAAATAAATGAAAACAATATTTTTAAAATTTTAAAATACTACCTGCATATATTTTTGTTAGGAATTTTCTTTTATTTTTAATTTTTTTTAGCAAACGCATCTTAGAGCCACGATATCAACACGACCTCCCCCCCATCCCGCCCCAACCTTTATCCCCCCCCCCCTTTCTCACTAAGATCATTGACCTTAGACCACTACCCTCCACTTCTGTGTACTCACCTACCACTTTGATTCTAGAACCGCACTGTTACACCCCCACCACCCCACTCTCACCCTTAAGGTTAAAGATCCGCCCCACCAACTGTCCCCCCTCCCCCCCCCCCCCCTCTAACCAGACACAAGGGTACAGCATGCCTACACCCCCTCAGACATTCGGCGAATGTTTTGACAAGGCTCACTGACACACAAAGTACCGGAAACTGTAGCTGACGGGGCGGTGAGGGGATCAAAAACACGGGCCCGGGGGTACGTAATGAGAACAGACAGCGCTACTGAGGGTACCAACCGACGGCCGATTCTGGGGGTACCGACACATTGACGCTACTGAGGGTTGAGCCCAGGACCACTACTGATGATATCAAATGACGGCGGCTCTGGAAATGCTAAAGGCCGGACGCTACTGTGGGTGCCAGCCCCGGGCCGCTTCTAAGGGTATCAACCGACGCCCGCTATTGAAGGTACCAAACGACGGCCGCTGCAGAAGGTAACGATTTCAGAGATGAGTTGTAGAGCGTAGGATGGGGAGGGTGGGGGTGGTGGGGCGTGAGACTTAAAATCGTTATGGAAATAACCTTTTTAAAACCCTAATAAAATCCTTTCTACCCGACTGTTTATAATTATTGATAAGACATTTTTAAACACGCAACAATAAAAGTGGCATGCGAGAACAAAATAATAACTTTGAACAGGGCATATTGTACAGCTATTTTAAAATTATGGGACGGCGTGGTCAGGTGGTAGAGCGTACGACTGCTAACTCGAATGTCTCGAGTTCGGTTCCCGAGCTTGAGTCCGTAGGACTTCTTCGAGTCCCTCCAGCTCTTATGGGTACCTGACTCACTGCATGAAAAGTTTATCACTAAACAGATGTCCACTATATCCCTTCATATTCCGCAGTCATAGAAACAGGGGACCCCAAAATTCGAAAGGGTCATTTTTATTACATAACTTCTGTAATAACAAAGTTAATCAGCAAGTACTGAGCTACCACCACAAATACAAGAAGCTGATCAGGTATAAAATAATAAAGTTTCCTGCAAGATGGAACAGTGGAAACCCAGAGGAACCTGGCGAAGAACTGGAATCTATCACACTTTAAATTTAATTTTAGAAATTGTTTACGGGGTCTAAAAATAGCCCACCGAGCCTGGAGCGAAGTTATGCCTGGTGTAACGGTTGGTGCCAGGTCAGGTGGCTTGAACGGTGCCAGACCCACCTGACACAGGTATCTGTGAGTGGGGCTAGGCATCTGGGAGATTAGGCATTCTCTCTGGGACCAGGACTTCAAATGTTGTCAGGGATCGGTTATCTAACTGTGGTTGTCATGGTAACTAATGAGGGTTGTTGTGGTAACGCTAATGAGGGTCACGCTAACAACAGCATGGTATAGGATACAGGCACATATATTTTGTATGTGGGTGTACGAAAATATGTGATCTATACTATAAGCAAATGGGGTTGATATGCTAGATGTATATGATTGTTGTTGTAGTATCTCCATGTTTGTAATAGTATTCACAGTTTACGAGTGCTTGTATTAGTTATATATATATATATATATATATATATATATATATATATATATATATATATATATATATATATATATATATATATACTTACAGTATATCTTTGCTTGTAAGAGTACTTGCAATCTATGAGTGCTTGTAAAAATACTATAATAGTACTTTTAACGTATGATGAGTGCTTATTATAGTACTTACAACCTACCTGTGTTTATAAATAATAGTCTTTTTTTTTGCACGTCATATAAACAACTCCTTATCCGCCTTTAGGGTTAGGGTTAAACGTAACAAAATACAGAACTTTTTAAGAAAATTATTAATGACATCTTTTTCATCCTCTTCAATAAAATCTAAAAGTACAATTTTCATATCCTTTTTTTTTTTTGTAATCTTTTTTTTTTGTTGGTAGCGGGTATTAACTTATTGACGAGGATTACCGTGACAAGATCCAAAAAAAAATTCCCTGGCTCACCCACCTCCCCCCCCCCACCAAAAACAACTCCCAATATACATAGTTACTTCCAGGCATCCGAAGAAAGTACTCTCCCCCCCCCCCAAACGAAATGGAATTTCAAGTGCCCCCCCCCCCCCCCCCGGAGAAAAAAGTCTAGAAGAAACACATATTTGATGACAATCCACCAATCATGTGGAGCTCACATATTTTCGGCTGAGCTCAACTCGGAGCTTAAAGCTCCTGCCTCTGCTGCCCCTTACCTACCAGGACATAGATGACAAACACAACCACACAGCCGCTAGACGGCGCCGCGAGGGGGCGTTCAAGTGGAGGCTGGTGACGTCACTACGGAAACGAACAATAAACATATCAGGCGGCGATTTGTCGTCTGCTGGCAGGCCACACCGCGTCTAAAAAGTCACGGTGGCCTCTGGACACGTTCTGCGCATGTCACAAGACAATTTTTTTAAGGAAATTATTTTTTTAACTTCCGGAATATAACTGTGTTTAACTCGTAGATATAGTGCCAGTTCTTTCAGACTTTTCTCTCACCCCAGCCCACGAAGATAGCGAAGGACATTGAGGAATGGGGATTACTGATGAAAATTGTGGCACCCCCCCCCCCACCTGAAGATAGCGAAGGACAGAGAGGAATGGGGAGGTTACTGATGAAAGTTGTGGCACCCCCCCCCCCACCCACCTGAAGATAGCGAAGGACAGAGAGGAATGGGGAGGTTACTGATGAAAGTTGTGGCACCCCCCCCCCCCCTACACCGGTATACCTGGTTACAAGACACAGATAGATAAAAAGACAGATAGATAGACAGATAGTATGACATAAGGACAGACAGAAAGACAAGTGAACAGATGGATAGTGTCTCTCTCGAGCATCTCCCTCGGGGGGGGGGGGGGGAGTGTCCCCTCCCCTGGAACAACTCAAATGCTCCTACCCTTCCCCCCCCCCCCTCCCTTATAAAATCTGTCACTGTTGGCATCAAGCAGGTGATTTCTGTAGAGAAAAGAAACCGCACGAGACAAGCGACTAGCCGGAGTCCCCATCCTGACAAAAGAACAACAGACTAATCAGAGACAAATAGGCTGAGAGAAACCAGACTAGCGAGAGTCATGTAGCCTGACTATAGATAACCAGACTAGCGAGAGTCATGTAGCCTGACTATAGATAACCAGACTAGCCGGAGACTGAGAGATACCAGACAGCGCCCGTCTTAAATACTAGAAACACCTTCGACTCTGGA